TCTCTATCTCTCTCAAAAAAAAAAAAACAAAGAAAGAAAGAAAAGAAGTTAGAAGTCATTAGAATCTGGTGATTTGGGTAATTCCTGATTTCCATTTCTAGGGCCAGGCTCAAGTTGAAGACCAATTTTGGATGCTGGGAAATCATTCATGAAGCAGACAATGTCTGAGGAGAAACTGCAGAAAAGACTGGTTGTGGAACTCCAGTAACTGACAAGTCTAAAGTCATATGTTGGGCTGAAGTTTGTCCATCTGTTCCAAAGTTCAGCTGCAGTTCCTGGTTGTGGTGCAAGGAAAATTCAAATCATAAATGCATATGCCATGCCCATTTTAATGGGACTCTCCCAGACAAAATGATAGATAAAATAATGCTATGTTCTAAAAAGTTCAGTAAGCTATCAAAAAGGTACTGGTATTAGTCCTATAAAAATCTTTAATACCACGAGTAAATACTAGTTGAATACGCTAAGGGATTGAGACCAGTCCTAATAATATGATGCTCGTGGCTTCTCATTTATTGCACTTGTTATATAACTCATTCAAGCCCTGGCAGAGATTCAGAGTAACTGAATCTAACACCTTCACACACTAGACACTGGAAGTTCCAAGAAAAAGCTCAAAAGGATTTCAATATCATAGCTAAAATGAACATAGAAGATCTCCAAAGAGGAGAGAGAGTTGGCTGAATAAATATAGGTTGGATGCAATAATTCCTAGAACTTGAACCACCACATTCATAAAAAGACACCAACAAAGTGCTTGCTTATGTGGCTTCTATATATGGGGGGGGAGTCTAAAAAATAGCATGTATGTGATATACAGATGTATATAAACAAAATTATATATGTATAATAGGAAAAAAGACAAATCTAGAGGCTGTATTGACAAACATAAACAAAAAGTTGTCTCTAGCTGGAGAAATAACAGGTGATTTTCATGGTCTTCTTTATAACTTCATAGGCTTTATTTTTAAATAGGTAAATAATACTCTTACACTAATTTTTGAAACTTAAAAAATTTTTGGAGCACATTTTAAAATACACATATCTGCATACTTATGTGGTTGAACCTAAGATAATTTAAGCATCCTTTCAACACACTTGGCATGAAAGTCTAAGAAAGAGGCATATCAAACCACAAGAGCTCAATTATGAATATGTACCATGTTATCACCAAACACTAGCCAAATACAATGCACTGTCAACTCTATCAGATTAAATTTACCCCCAGCAGGTTTTAAATACAACAGGCATTTGTCAAGTATGTGTATGCTTTCTCCTACAAGACTGTGAACTCCTTAAGGGTATGGACCATATTTTATTTTATCTTACATACATAGAAATGGTAGTCATTAAAAACTGTTTGATGAACTGTGACTTACTATATATCAATCTCTTAAAAGAAACAGATGCACCATCTGCTAACTGAATCATATACAGAGAATGCCTAGGAGCTCAGACCATCTCATTCCCAAAGACAAAAGGCACACGTAGGAGTTGGTGAGGTTGAGAAAAGAAAATGCAGTGATGGCAAAAAAAAAAAAAAAAAAAAAAAAAAAAAAAAAAAAAAAAAAAAAAGCTGAACCATGTGTCCAGAGTTCATAACCTAGGGAACCAGAATAGTCAATATATGAACTCTTACAAACACTGTTTACTCCTTGTCAGAAATGAATAATGCTAAGTTTGAGAGTCAAAAAGACACACTTATTTCTCCTACAGAAATAAACATGAATCAAAAAAAGCCAAGATCTAATAAACTGTCAGTATCCAAAATACATAAACATCTTATACAACTCAACACCAAAACACACAAATAATCCAATTGAAAATGGGGAGAAGACATGAACAGACATTTCTCCAAAGAAGACATACGGATGGCCAACAGACACATGAAAAGATGATTAACATCACTCATCATCAGGGAAATGCAAATCAAAACTACAATGAGATATCACCTCATACCTGTCAGAATGGCTAAAACCAAAAACACATGAAACAAGTGTTGGCAAGGATGTGGAGAAAAAGGAACCCCCTTGTACTGTTGATGAGGATACAAACTGGTGCAGCCACTCTGGAAAACAATATGGAGCTTCCTCAAAAAATTAAAAATAGGACTATCATATGATCCAGCAATTCCACTACTGGGTATTTCCCCCCTAAAGATTACAAAAAACACTAATTCAAAAAGATATATGCACTCTGATGTTTATAGCGAAACTAATTACAACAGCAAAATTATGGAAGCAACCCAAGTGTCCATCAATAGATGAATGGATAAAGATGGTGTGTGTGTGTGTGTGTGTGTGTGTGTGTGTGTGTAAACACAATGGAATATTATTTGGCCATAATGGAGAACGAAATCTTGCTGTTTACAACAACATGGATGGATCTAGAGGGTATAATACTAAGTGATACAAGTCAGTCAGAGATAGACAAATACCATATGATTTCACTCATATGTGGAATTAAAGAAATGACATAAACAAACAAAGAAAAAAAGAGACAAACTAAGAAAACAGACTCTTAATTACAGAGAACAAACCTTTCTGGTTACCAGAAGGCAGGTGGGGGTGGGGGGGGGATGGGTGAAATAGATGAAGGGTATTAAAGAGTTCACTTGTCGTGATGAGCACAGGGTGATGCATGGAAGTGTGGGATCACTATATTGTACGCCTGAAATTAATATCACACTGTATGTTTAACTATACTGGAATTAAAATTTTTCAAAAAGCCAAGAATTTAGATAAAGTGCCAAAGATTTTGTCTATAAAATATTATTTCTAATTGACTACAAAAGACATCCCTCCACATTTAAACCAGGCTAGAAAAGTCCAATACAAAGAACAAACCATCATCACCAAGAGAAAGAGATCTGATTTATAAATAAATTTGTTTATCGATATATGGTGTCCTCAGTGTCTTTGCCAATAATATAATCAGTGTCTCAAGATTCTAGTTTCACAATGTTAGGCACATCTTCAGGCATAAACAACTTTTAACTTTCAGTGAGTTTTATTTAACTGTATTGAATTTATGAAAGAGAGCCTTTGAAAGGGAGGAAATCTAGGCAGTGTTAAATACATTTAACAGAATACAGAACCTCTAAAATACACCTTACCTTTACCTGTGAGACCGTCTGGACAGTTAATGGGGAAACCTGGGGTTGTGAGACAACTGGAGGTCCAAGGACATGTACAGGCAAAACAGTGGACTGACCTTGAACCAAAGGCAAAATGTGGGGCTGAGACAGCTTTGGCTGCTGTTGCAGCTGTTAAATAAGAAAAAAAATATGTTAAAGATAAACTCTCCCATTTACAGTAAATATATGGATTATATATTTAGAAATGTAACAGTTCACTTTACCCCTGAAATCTGTTGGTAATGTCCTACTCGCTGCTGGGATGGATAAATCATCCCTGGAACATTTATTTCAGCCTGTGGGATGTTGGAAACCACTTGAGAACCCATCTTCTGGTCTGAGGAATAGGCCACACTGGGATGACTTGAAGTATCTGAGTGTATAGCAGATCCAGCTCCTGCCTCAGACAAATTGTCACCTATGACAAAGAAAAGAAGCAACAGGTAGAAGGAAAAACTTGAAGCACAAGGTCTAAATGACATGGGAAATAATAAGTGTTTTATATTTTCTTTTACTCTGACAACCCAAGACAACTTGAAATAAAATATGCACACTATACAATTAACCAAAAACCATCATGTAAACTCTCCATGCTGACATTGTAGTAGAACTAAAATTTTCTTAGTAAAGCAAACCTAAAAACAAAGACTCACATAAAAATCAACTCCATTTGCTGGCCATTTCATGTAAATCCCTAACTAATCTATACTTACTATTAGGATTTCAGTAAAATCTAAGGGTCATATATATTCTCATTCTCTTAGACCCTGGCTAGAAAATACTATCTTTACAGAACAATTGGTTATTACTATGAAAACACTAAAAAAAGAAAAGAAAATACTATGTCCTTCTAGAGAAGAGAATGTATTATAGCAGAAAAATTAAAGGAACTACAATAATTTTATTTTTTTTTATTTATTTTTTTTTTTATTTATATATGAAATTTAT